AACAGCCGGGTCTGAAGTGATTATGTGAGTGTAGTGTGAGAGATTCCTTTAGGGCCTGTGGGAAGCCTGCACATTCTTTGTTGACAGTAGCACTGGAAGAGAGAGAGAGCGAGGGAGAGAAAGGTGGAGGGGAGGAAGGAGATGATCTGAACAGAAGAGTCTGGGAAATTAAAGTAACATGCTTATATAAATATCCTTTTCTGTTAGGTTCATGAAATTAATGCAAAATTGGAAGAATACAAATATATTAGGACAAAAAGAGGAGTCCTACACACAGAATACGCCAATGAAGATGCTGACTTAGAAAGACAACGAGATTCTAGAGCTTTTGGCGATATGGGTTGCTGCAAACAACAACACTGCTCTCAGCATCATCCGTCTTCTCGGGTCGTAGAGGTAGCCAGCCAAGTGAATATTCCAGACGTCCCTCTCCCCAGCCGCACCTTACAGCTCTTCCTGGGGGACCCTGAGGTGTTCCCAGGCCAGATGGGATATGTAGTCCCTCCAGCGAGTCTATTTCAGGGTCTCCTCCCAGTTGAGGCGTGTCTGGGATGGAAGGCAGCCAGCAGGCATCCTGACTAGATGCCTACACCACCTCTATGACGAGGAGCAGTGATTCTACACATCAACATATCTCTAAGGCTGAGGCAGCCATCCAACAGAGAACATTTTGGCTGCAATCTTTTCCTTTCGTCACTACCCAGAGATTGTGACCAGAGGTGAGGGTCAGACAATAGACTGACCAGTAAATCCAAAGGTTTGCACCCCCCCTCGCCTGAATGTTCCAGACATTTCCCTGCTGTTGTGCTCACGTCTGACACAGACAATCTCGTGCTGCGTTTTCATACGTAAAAGACAAACTCAGGTAAATGGAATCCTATTTTCTGGACATTTTTCCTCGTTCAGGTAAACCTCTGTTTGTATCCAACAACGCTCTCATGCTGTGTTTGTGCAGCCTCCTTATGCAACTGTAAAAAGGATGTTCATCTTTAAATCATTGAAAGCTTACTGTGCCTCCGGCAAACATCACAACCAGTAATTAAACACCATGAAACCTGCATTTAGCTCTAAAACAATTAATTATTCACATTCATTTCATCTCACTACGTCTTCATAAGTTTAGCCGTGCAGTCAAATTGAAAATTTCCCTCTTTCTTCACTGCCATTGGTCTGTTTACTCTAAAAGCATGTCCTTCAAGCATCTCCTTCTCAGAATCAAGGAGCTAAGCCGTAGAAAGGCGAGCTGCCGTTTATCGCTGCCTTGCAGACAAATCCACTCTAAATGGCTGGTGATTTTCGCTCATTGGCTCAATAATCCATTTGAGAATTTACTCAGGGACTCAGACACATTGTTGACTTTTTTTTTTGCTTCATTTTGAACAGAGTCTTCTGTAAAACCCCCTCAACTTCAAGGAGACATTTGTAAACAACACAGAGAATGGAAATGAATGCGTATGTGCGTGAACACACACACACACACACACACACACACACACACACACACACACACACACATACACACACACAGGCATTTGGAATCAGTGTGATGCCACATTGTGTAGCGCCGGGAAGTTTAATGGATGCATGTTTTCAGACGTCCTTGTTGAATCCAAGGCCAGAACTGAGAGCGGGAGACCTGAGTCACACATGGATGGATCTCCCTCCAGTTGTTCCTCCTCATCTAATCCTTTTCTCCGTCCTTGTCTTTGCACGGATCCATCCAGATTAAATACTTGGCTCCGGCCGCGCAAATACTTGACATCTCTTACTTTTTCTCCTCCTGTCTTCTTGCGTCACCTTGCTCCTTTAGCCCGATGCCTTGGCTGTCCACCCCTTCCTGCATATACTGTCCCTCCTTCCGTAGTGCACTGTGGTAATTGAGTGAGAGCTGTGGCCCTGGAGTCCTTGTGTAATCCACACTTTATAAGCACTCTAATTGAAGTGCAAATTCAATACTCCCTCATCAGCCTTTTACTGGCTGTGCTTTTGCCTGCACCCCTTAGGTAATTACAAGGAGACTGGCGGTTCAATCATTTTGCAGAAAATAATGTAACAAAAAACACAGCAGCATACACCAAATCATTTCACTGTGGGTGTGTAGAGGGTGTGATAGTGAGGTGACTGGGGGTGAAGTACTGGAAGAGACAATTAAAATGCCTTTGCCTTTGTTATCAGGGAGGTAAAACAAGAAAAACTGTGTGATAAAGAATTTTAGGCAACCTTATCTAAACATCATGGGATTGCTCCACATTCATGTTTTTCTTTTGCGGTATAGACTGTCGACATGTTCACGCACAGATGCATGTGGATACTAACACAGCACATGCACGCTCACTTAATTTTCTGTTTTGTATAGTTGCAAGGGAGATGCATACACAAACACTTATACGTTTTTTTCGGTTTGCCCGTGCGCCATGCGCGTGTCTGTGTGTAGGAGTTTGCAGCTTTAATTAAACTTCCTCTATTTTCTCTCAGCTTGTCCCCATAGGGCCCTGTCTTCTTCCCGTCCACATGCTTATTTATTTATAATTGCATAAAACTCCAGAGCTGAGCTACGGCTGAACACGGTGCCAGACCTGTGCAGCAAGCTGGGACCGTCACACAGTAATACAATTTCATGTACTGAAACATCCCACCGCCTGGGAAAATTCCACATTATGAATCGAGTAGTGAAGCACTAATCATTAAAAAACACAAACAGAGAGAAAAAAAAGTTCTGATTATTGTTTACAATATGAGAGCAGCGATACAGAATGTCAACACAGATGTATAGAATTTAAATCTGTGGGGAATTGGATTGTTGCAGAGATGCAAAAGGATCTCATGAATATCATCATTGCAGCAATTCGCTTCCTCAAGAGATCAAACATTCCCAGGAGGAAAAAAAATTCCAGGTGTCGTTACAACTTTGTTTTCTCTCTTCTTTATTCAATTGCCAGATTTCATCAGTACTTTTTGTTTGTTTATCTCTCTAATTTACTTTGCCTTAAAGTAAATATCCCACCAGACAACCGTTTGGATGAGCATCACAGAAAATGCATAGTTTATCCCTTGTGTTTTTGTTAAAGTTGGATGAATGGATTTAAATCTTCAAAAGAGAAAATCATGTTATGATATTTCTATAACATCGCGAAATTGCCAAGATAACCTACATGAGCAGCTATATCCACATGTGGTGACTTAATATCTGCAACACTGCCTACACACATCTGCAGAATAAACCAGCCTGCACACCCTTCTTTTCATAGCCAATTATAATGCTAGCATCACAGTCATAATCATATTATCGCACGTCTTTTCCTGTCAACTCGTTGAGCCAGCGAAGCCCCAGATCTGCACAAAGACACTGTACACTAATTTATATATTCCATCATTCTCAATAGATTTTTAATTGCTTGATGCTTTATCTATTGTATCCCCACTCATCTTGCTTGCATCTGTTTCCTGCTGTGATGACCCACTTTTATGAGGGCAATAATTCACAAAAAAAAAAACACACATGGCAAAGTTTTCTGCATTTAATAGGGTTTGCCTGAAAATACAAAATCCCAAATGTATGCTCATAATGATTAGAATTCTGGAAATAAATTGAAGCAATTACTATCAAAAAAAAATCTACTTTTTATTGAAGATGAATTGTCGATCAACGGGTGGCTACAGCACGCTGGAAGAATAACAGATTTAGTTTTAGGCTTCAACGCTGATGTCCAGCTCCAAGTAAACTTGAAATATACGTTTTACACATGCTTTTAACATACATAGTCAGGATCAGTCAAGTTTCATGATTATTGATAAGGTCTTTTATACAGTAAACTCTGGGTTCTCTTAGGTTTTTAATGGAATCAGTTATTTTAGAGTGAGTCATACAGATAAATAAATAATCTGCCTTTGATCATGTGTCATAATAAAAACATAGTAGAATATGTGATGTTGTTTTTGTTGAAACAATCCAGCAAGAAGGGTTGGACATTAATTTGGGAGTGGGGGCAACAGAGAAAGTCCTTAGTTTACACATGACATGAAGTGTTTGCTGACTTTACTATTACTGAGGTGTATTGTAATTTACTGAATGACTTGACACTGTCTATTGATGGATGGTTTAGTTGTGTTTGTTATGTCAGTTTTATTTCAACATATGACCTAAACATATGACCTCACACTTGTTTATATTAACATAATCTATCTATCTATCTATCTATCTATCTATCTATCTATCTATCTATCTATCTATCTATCTATCTNTATCTATCTATCTATCTATCTATCTATCTATCTATCTATCTATCTCTCTCTCTCTCTCTCTCTGTCTCTCTCTCTCGCTCTATATATAGTCTCACTTCTGTTGCCTGTATATTAATTAATCCAACCCCTAGCAATAGTGAAATGTGACAAAAATATCCAGTGTACTTATATATTTTATAGTGAAGTATAATTTAAGAGTGTTTTCGAATTTTGATTAGCAAAGGTATAAAATGCAGATTCCAGGGGTTCATCTCCAAAGTTATTGTAGAGATACAGAGAATGAAAAAAAAGAAGATAGACAGAAGACAGACAGACAGAAAAATCATCAAAACGTTAAAAGTACTAAAATAATGGATCATCATTTTTGCTTTTTAGTCCAGAATTTGGTTTAGAGTCAGTGCATCTCTTAATGTGAATGTGTAATTTTCCCACTTACTTAATTGATTCTATCTAACTCATCACTGTCAAAACATAGAGAAAAAATCCTTATCCTGACACGGATTTGTTTGTGCAGTTTTTATCCTTATAACATATACACCCAGCCAAAACACCCAAAGCATTCCTACATTGTTTCATCCGCCAGTTCACAGTTCTTTGTAGCTGCACATATTTGATGCAGAAGTGTCTTTGATATTATCGCCAAAACACAATCCGGCTTTAATCAGACCAATTCCCAGGTAGATCCCCCCCCCACAGAGAATCTACCTGCTCCACAATCAAAACAATCCCAGCATGGCCACACGCTTGTGACGCACCCGTACACGTCACAGGCTCACCCGGAAGTGCGGTGACAGCACTTGTCAAAAACCCTTCAGCCCTCTCATGGAACTGCGAAACAAAAGGTGAGTTCAACCGCTTCAGAACAACCTCTTCCTTTACTTGTTCCCTTCCTGTCACGATATATCACCGGCATTGACGCATGTTGTAAGTTTGGCCGTGATTTAACGCTCGCAGCACTTTTACGCAGCGTAAACATTAGCCGCTAGCTGGCTAATGTTAGCAGGCTCGTAAGGGTGCGGGTTGGGTGTCTGCGCTGCGGGGATCTGCGGAGGACTTTCCGGCTGCTCTTTGTCATTTCTCCGTGTCCTGCCGCTGCTTGGATGTGGACGTCACATCAGCTGGCAAATTTCCCTCATGCAAAATAATGAGCCCACTAGGAGAAGACACGTTGCGCTGGATCGTTCCGCTCAGTCTTGCGAATCCTGCCAAATAGTGACCCCCCCACTGTAGTTGATCCCTCCACTGTTGCACCTCCATGCTCAGCGCAGGACAGCAGCACTACACTGAGAAAACCCTGCTGATCAGCCTGAGGAGAGGCCACTGCTATGTCGACTGACGTGACAATGATACCAACGCAACAAGTAGTCATAAAGTGGCTTTGAGACTGATGAATTGGGTTTATTGCTTTAATTAGACAATATTGACTCGGTTTCATGAATGGCCTTTTCTGTCATCAGGATGAGTATTGTGATTTAACTCACAATTAGGACGTTTTAAAGTCTTAATTGAATAAACAACAAGACAAGGGCTGCAAGCAAAGATTATTTTCATTATCGATTCATCTGCAGATGGTTCTCTCGACTGATTGTTTAGTCTATATGATGTCAGAGGACGGCACAAAACCTCTTCAATCAAGCTGAGTCGCAGCAGAATCGGTCCCCCAGGGAGGACGGTGGGATGTGGGGGAAAGTTTCAGAAAAAGGTAAAGTTATTTTCACACTGAACTTTACATGCCTTGTTTTGTCGAACATCTAAACTAAGTGGTATAGCCCAGAGGAGCTGGTGTTCTTAAATTGAATGATTAATTGATTATCAAAAGTTTTAAAGATACATTTTCTGTCCGTCTTCCAATCAAATAATTGATTGGATTGTTGCAGGTCTATATCCGATATACTTGCTCCAAGCACAGCTGCGACAGAAGGCATGGGATGGAAACCTTGTGGAGTATTGTGGGCTGATTGGATGTTGAGGAACAGAATAGTGAGTAATAGAAATAGCAGACTGTGTTAGAAAATCCTCATGGGGAAATACAGACATGTTGTCCTTGGAGTGACACTTTATTTCATAAAGTGGGGTGTGAGGAAATGTAGAAAAAACATTCCTATAAATGACTGTTTTTCTAATTTGGAGCAGGAGTGTCAATCACCAGAAGTTGTTATTTATGTCATGTCAGTGTGCACCATTTAATCCTATGTGGAATTGACCATTTTATGATATGACAAGAAAACTAAAATTGACTTATTTATACTTCTTGAGCTTTAACAATAGGTTGAATTAATTCTTTGTTGATAGACAAATTAAGAAGAAGCTATTTTAGTAGTTCAATAATTGATAAGTAATTTATATTCTTCTGAAACATGAGAGTGTGCTGCATTTTCTTGTCTTGGGCTAAACAAGAAATTATCTTTGGCTCTGTAATAATAATCAACAGGATAATCAATAATGACAATATTTAATGCACTATTTACAGAACAAGTATAAAGTAACAACAAGATCAGCTAATCAGCAATTAGTTCATAAATCAATTAGTTAATTGACAGAACGGTAATCAGAAACTTTCTGAATGATCGAACAATAATTTTTTAAAATTTGAAATATTTGCTGATCCCAGCTTCTCAAATAACGGAATATGTTTGAGTTTTATACTGTTGGTTGGACAAAGGGAGACATTTGAACACATGCACAGCTTTGGTTTGTTGTGTTGACATTTTACAGACAAAGCAATTTATTGATTAATCAAGAATTTAATCAACATGGTTAATCATCATTAACCATTTGTTGCGGTCCTAATTTACAGCTTGATAATGAGAAAACAATTGCATTGACAAAACACATTATAGAGCCAGGTCATGAACAATTGACTAACTAACTATTTGGTAGATTGTTAAAATAAATCATGATGAATTAATAATAATTGAATAATCATAAATAAATATTTAACTGTTAAAAACAAGTGAAATGCTTCTCAATTCTTATTTTTGGTGACTAATGAGGAGCAAGTTGGTGGAGTAGCTGATTCAGTTGGTTTGTTCCACAGTGTTTTTCCACTCAGCTGTGCTGGAACTGTATGCATGAGTAGGGAGGAAAGTGGGAGCTTAGAAATGCTTTGAATGGGAGTCTTGTTTGATTCATAACAGTCAATGGGTAAAAATATTTAAATCTCAAAGATAACTTGTAGGCTGGCTTTGCATTTTTAGCTTTTAACTGTTCCTCTCCTACTGTCAATCACATTCTTTCCATATCTGTCAGTAAAATTACTTATGTTGGTGCAAAAGTCTGTGGATATATTTGAAGTCTTTTTAAAAGGCTGCTGCTCCATCTGAAAAACAACTTTCTGCTGTTTTCAGGTAGTATTTGACTTCATTTCACAGTTTTACTGCTGCAGTTGTCCCAGTCACTTCATCACAGTGTGAAAAAGTCCCGCTTCTGCACTTATTGAAAAAAGGATGAGATGTAATGCCACTATCTGGTGTGAAT